TTTTTAAACCATGAACAGAATTCTTAAAGAGGTATTATTTTATCAATCAGAAATTCAATCTCACCTGCAGAGACAAACAAGAGGCAGACAGACAGTAAAGTCAGGCAGAGAGATGCAGACGTTACAGCAGACATTGCTTCTTCATTTAAAGTGCGATAAATGTCCAAAAGATGGTGGTATTTTTCAAGAATCACAGAATCCCTGAGTTTAAAATCTGATAAAGGAAGCTGAAAGTCTGTGAGTGTGATAGCAGGTATCTATATTGTTCTTGTCATGGCCACCTGCTGTTTCTCCCTCCTTATATCTGTTTCTGTCTCTCTCCACTCCTGCAGGTGAAGAAGAGATTGAGGTTGTCTGGTTTCCTTGTTTGGCCCTGCCCAGAGGCGGAGTTTGTCCTGTTGACCTTGTTACCTGTTTGCCTTAAAATCTGTGGATGTCCTCTGGTCTGAAGTGCTGGGGGGACCAGTTAGAGACCAGCAGCTGGGCATCAGTGGTTGGACTGGTGGACTACTTCAGTGAAGAGTAGACGACGTCTGGCTCTGGTTTAAAGTCTGAACACAAACACACACAGTTCAAGCAACAGGAAACATGATTAAAAGCTTTGTAGTTCAATCAAGACCTCGGTTGCTCTCTTATTTACAATCTTATTTACATTATTTACAATCTCCACCTCTCTGCATCACACACAGTCCCAGTTCAGACTGAGCTCGAGATATGATGCTATTAGCTTAGCTTAGCATGATGGTGAGCAGGGGGAGCAGCTAGCTTGGCTCTGTTTAAAGTTAAAGATAAAGAGCGGCTGTACCTGGTCCTCCTGGCTCTGATGGCTTTCGTCCATTACTCACATCTTCAGTTTTCACTGCTGAGTAGACTGCAGCCGAGTAACTCTCTGCAAAAGAAAACACCTTTGACATTGTACAAAATCTGTATGACTGTCATATTATTGCAAAGATTGTTTTTATTCATAATGTTGCACAGTGTAGAGATTAAGCAATAGGTTTTATAAACAGCAGCAGCTTCACACGCTTTTCTTATCTTAACATCTCTGCTATGAAACTGACCACATGAAACTGATGTTTCTGTGAAAGAGAAAAGAGGACAACCACAAAGCTTCAAACATCTGCTTTCAGTGCACACTGATTCACTTCACCACAGAGCAAAGACCTTCACAACATCAACACTATTACTGGCCAAACCAAGAGACACTGTGTTGAGAAGTTTCACTGTCTTCAGACTACTGTAAACTAGAATCATCAGCAGGATGAATGTATCTGGTCGACATGCCATAAAGAACAAGATAATTATAAACTTTATTAAAGCCAGATTCTGATTTTCATTTTGGAGAATGACAAAGACTGGATTTAAAATGTTAGCATCATAAAACTATAAAAAGACGTCCTTGATGAAATTATTCACTTTGAATTCATGATGGTCTGTGAGCAAAGTTTAAAGAAATCATTTTCCAAATGATGTCTCCATGTCCTTGGAGATGTGTTTTTAAAATGAACAGCTCTGTGCTGAAACACCTGCAGCTGAAGTATTTTCTTTCTATCAGAAACAGGATGCTGGACGACTGCAGAGCTGTTAGCTTCAGTTAACCACAGACCACAAACAAATATTGAGGATGAGTACAAAGCAACAATGGTCCAAAAGAGTTTGGTCAAACAATGAACACATTGAACACACGTGTGAGGAGACGTACACTGCAACACACTCAGCATAAGTCTCCGCCCAAAAATACACTTCAGAATGCTTTTAATATATCAGGCCCTTCATGCATCAGATAAGAATATAACATGCATCAGTTACAGTTAATGGTTACTAGAAAGCTAAAAACAGACAGAGAAGTTCCTCTTTTCATCACATTCTTCATGGCAGTTTGTTTCGCCCTTCAGATGGTCTCTGGGGAATTACAATTTTCTTGACTCTTCTTCTGTCACTTGTTACTAGGCAAACTCAAATGCAGTTAGAAGCTAAAAGAATTCCAGGCCTTCGGCCTGGCCTATCTTTTAAAATCATTTGTGTTTGTAAGCGTGTATGCTTTTAACCTTCTGCTGCTCCAAGTCACTTACACAGTGGATCGTCAGGACATCGCGCCAAATGAAGCTTAAGACCTTAAATAGACTGAGCATCAACTCTTCATGAGCACTATTTGCAATGTGTGTATAAGATGATAGCCGCACCTTTAATAAAAGTTTTAGTCTAATGGCAATGGCTTTAATAAACATTTTAATGCAATGCTGTTGATGAAAGCTATGTTTATCAGTAAAATATTTTCTTTATTCCCACACCACACTTATTTAAATGTAATGTTTTACTATTACAATCCACATTTATACATTGCTGATCAATTCAATTCAGTTTTATTTATAAAACGCCAAATCACACCAACAGTTGCCACAAGCACTCATGCCATCCCTCACATGCTCAGTAATGTCCTGATAATCCTTCATGAAGATCAAGATCACACTAAACTCAGTCTGAAATGTTTGAAGAGGAAACGATCAGAGAAAATGTGTTCATCATTATTCTGATGATGCACATTTTCATGTTTCTTGTTTTTACAATATTTAATTCCTAGTTTCCACAAATGTTCCCACAATATAAAGATTCACAAAAATTAAATAAAAAGCAAATCTAACCACTAACCACTCAGCAGACATGTTGAGTATCAGAATATTACCTCTGCTGGGTCTGACTGGCTGTGGATGATGTGATAGCTTGATAATGTTGTACACGACATGAGTGATGATGTCATCTTTTCCAGATTCTTCTCGATCTGCTGAAATTTTCCAAAATGAAAAAAAATAAATAAATAAATATCTAAACAGAGATTATATTTAAGAAATTTGTTACTGTGATCATCATGAATGTGAACTTTATTCTACTAAAAAAACTCAGACATGAAAGATCAGGAAGTCTGAGTCTCACCTTCAGGTTTCCTGTGAACACATCGTCTCACCAGCAGAACCAGTAACACCAGTAGAACCACAACACAGACTGATCCAACACATGACAACACAGGTATGAGAGAGGAACCAGGACGAGAGGTGGATGGAGGTGGAGCAGGACCAGGTTGCAGAACAGATGACTGGAAAACCAAACAATCCAAAGAAGCACCTTGGCTAACAGTCTCTGTATTAGCTGGCTCAGGCGAAACAGAATCCTCAGAGTGAAACACAATGTTACTCACAGTGGGTGTGATGTCAGAATGTCCAGAGTCAGAATGCTCAAATGGAGCATGCAATAAACAGTCACCGTCTCCCCCGAGAGGAGTTTGCTCAACCGTCCTGGAGTGGCGGCGGCCTGAACGCCGTTTCCTTCGAGATGAGGAAACAGGAACCGGTGGAGAAAAGGACACCCCCTCCTCATCCTCCGACCACATAGCCGCCAGGAAAAAGGCAGGCGAACGAGGACCCGGCTGGTGTGGGGAGGGAGAGGAAGTCCGTGGCAGTGTTGAGACAGGTGGAGAGTGTGTGTTGTCCTGGGGAAGATGTAGTGAGTGAGAGAGCAAGCTCACCAGCCTTGACTTGCTCTCCAGGCAGTAATGGTGCCATCCAACTTAGTGTCCTTAGCAAACAGAGAGCTGAGGGTTATGACGAATGATGGCATCTACTGCACTTAGCCCGACTGCCATAGTCCGTAAATCCTGTGACTGGGCAATGCGGTCGAGCAGACTCACCATCTGCATCATCTCGCTGTTGAAATCCGAGGAAAAAGAGTCTGCGGGGTCCATGTTCTGGTTGCGATCTTCTGTTATGTGACGGCTGTGTGCAGGCAGGAAAAGGACCCAAAGTGCAGACTCCAGAGACAAACGTAAACTCAAACAGCTTTAATGCTGAACTCAAACAGAACAAAAGTAAGAATCCAAATAACTTACACGAGTAGACAAAACACACAGCTAGATAAGGGTAAAATCGTTTAGAAAGATTTGTGTCACATTCAGACCTTAACCAAACATCACAACCGACACTAACCACTGCACCACTGTGACGTGTGTACTGTTAGATATGATTTAAAAAAATATTTGAATTCAGTTTTAATGAACAGTTCTCACCACTTTTTCAGCAAATGTGCTGTTGTGCCACTTTAGAATATAATTTACAGATCTTTATATATTGTTTTTGTTAATAATTGAATAGAACAAAAAGTTTTGTTGGTGAATTTGATTTGACTGTTAAACACTCAAAGCAGTTCACACAGGTCGGACTAATTATGTTGACTCTAAGATTATATTATAAAAAACAACACTTAAAGTTATTGTTTTGATAGTGTGCACTGAATGTTCTAAGTATATATAAAACATTACTTTTCACTACTTTTACACAGTAAAGTTATGTGTCCACTGTGCAGCTGTGTTGATATAATGAGTGAATGATTTGATCTTTTCACTGCCTGCTGTGTTTCCTCGACTCCTGAGCAAAGATAAAGAGTCAGTTCAGACCTGCAGTTGGTCCTCATGGTGTTTTGAACTTGAATTCAGCCTGATTTGTTTTTCATGTCTTCTCCTCCATCATCAGTTATCAGGAGAGCAGACAGTCTACAAGAATTCAAACAAACACAGAGATTCTACTTACAGAGCAGACACAGCACAGATGTTTCCTTCATCGTCCTTCTCACTCATTTGAGCTTTTTTTCATTTCTGTCACTGACACCAAGTAAAGCCCGCCCTCTTCCTCTGAGTCTGTGTTTTTTCTGTTGGTACAAAGGCGGTGGTGGGTAACTCGCTTTTTTACTTGTGTACAGATGCCTATGCTACATTATATTAAAATATAAACTCAATGTCAGTGTCAAAGATTCCCTCAGTCTGGTGTTGATGAGCTGTGATTTTGTTAATGAACAAATTCAAATAACCAGTAAGTGGTTCATTCAATCTTTTAATGTCTTAGTAATTAAAGCTTTCTTTTGGGTGTCATGTTTTTAGTATTTTTGGTTGTGAAGCACTTTTTAATATTTCCCTGTATAAATAAAATCTTGCTTACCTCACTGATGAGTATGACGTGAAACTAAAGAATCAAACCAGGGACGCTGCTGTTATGGAGCTGAACTGGAACCATTCAGACACTGTGGCCCTCTGAACACATTTTAATTACAGCTGTGCAGAGACACACTGATGACTGACTGGAACACTATGATTCACAGATTATTGAAATTCTACCCTTCAATGTTGCCACTTGAGCAAGATATTTGACTTTAAATCTTGACATGGATACAAGCATCAGTGAGAGTCACTTAATATTAAAATTAGTACCGTCAGCGTTAATCTTATTAAAAGGACGTTAATATCATAACCGCATTAACGCAGCAAA